AATTTATTCAATGTTTTCACACAAAACTTAAATTAGATCATTGAATGTTAAGATACAGCAACACATATTATCAAAATAAAAATGCCAACATACAGTCAATTCTCGAATTACCGTCATTCGATTCATCGCTTTTCTCGCAATAATGGGTTCGAATTCGCCACGAAAGCAGTTGTAAAGTTCCACAAGGACGATATTGCTTGACTAGCGTTGCAAGGTTTGTTTGTGAAATAGCGATAGATAATTATGAACGTTTTAACAACGAGTCACAGAATTTTTGTGTATAAATATATATGAGAAATAACTTATCACCTACTTCCGTTAGTCGATACTTGATTTTTGTTTAATATCGGATGTTCATGGCCACTTGCATACGACAGGGTTAAACCTGGATCACTGTAATCCAGGCTTAAGTTTATCACAAATTTGTTGAGTCACTGTATGTTACCCTAGTTCTGAACCTAGCAGTAGGGAGGTTTACACTAAGGTCTGAAATAGAATGGATAAATATTTTGATAGAATTGATATGTTGAATTATGTGGAAAAGCGGCTCATAAGAAGAGAAAAGGTAATAAGAGATAGACAGAACCCATTTTTATTTTATTCTGAAGAAGAATTCATTGACAGATTTAGATTGAGTAAAGAATGTGTAATGTCCATATTACAAGAAATTAGAGAAAAACTGGAACCAAAACAAAAGAAACTGTGTGCTATTTCTCCTCTTAATCAATTATTGCTTGCATTAATATTTTATGAAATGGCGAGTTTTTTGAGAGTTTCAGGAGATTTGTATGGTGTACACAAGAGCACTGTTTCACGAATCGTTACGAGAGTATCAAGAGCACTTGCATCCATATATAAAATTATGTTTCATTTTTAACCAGGAATAAGCTTTTAGAAACACAGAGAAATTTTATGCAGCAGAGTGGAACTCTTGGTATCATAGGGGCTATAGACTGTACTCACATTCCAATTCAATCACCAGGAGGTGAAAGTGCCGAATTATTTCGGAACAGAAAAGGTTATTTTCAATTAATGTTCCAGCCATAAGTGACCATGAGTTGATGCTTACCAATATGGTTGCTAGATAGCCTTTGAGTACCCACAATAGTAGAATATTTCAAAATAGCAACATTAAATTTGTGCATGGCTGGAACGAAAAGAAATTCAGGGAATTCTGATAGGGGATAACGGATACCCACTCAGACCCTACTTGATTACTCCATTACTCACGTGTGCAAACAGAGAGAAGAGGCGTTTCAATTTTGCACTTTTTAATAGAGTGAAAATAGAAAATGTATTTGGAATATGCAAAAGATGATTTCCATGTCTACGACAGCAGCTCCGACTTAAGTTATCCACAAATTTACTGGTTATTACAGTATGTTCTGTGTTCTATAACATTGCAAGAAAAGCTGCTGTTCCTGCTACTGACGCAAGTAATGATGACGTTGCAGATGATGTTCCAGTCCCAATTTTGCCAAACCAAAATCAGGGATGACAAGCTCTCATACATTTTCAGTAATAATGTAGGTACATTAATTTATATACTGTGGAATCATCAATCTTCGTGGGGGACCAATGCTCGTGGATTTCGTTGGTCACCCTTATCAAAGAATTTACATCCCCACAAACAATTAATTACTTTGTCAGCATATTTATTCATTGAACCTTCTGAATATACAAGTTGCCTATGAAAGAAAGTCCACAACAACCAACAAACTTTTGCCTACCCATGAACATTCACCCCCACGAATTAAAATGATTCCACAGTAAATTATCTCAATTTCACAGACATATCTTAGAAAAATAATTAGACAATATTGAGAAATATATTGAACAAAGCTTAAATTATTTTTTTTAATACAAATGGTTGCCAAACACCAGCAATATTATTGTTTACATCATTGCTCTCTGAGGCAATTGCATTATTATTCGATCAGCGTTGCATCATTTCAGTTTCTGTTCTTTCAATATAAGAATGCTTTCCTTTAGTTTCAGGTTTTTCATTTTTTTGTTTATGTTCCTCTTCAGCCATTTCAAGAAGTCTTGATTTAACTTTGACTTGATATCCTACTGTTTGCTTTCTACCCTTTGTTTCAGCAGTATGAGGGGCGGTGCTGGAGGTTGACTTTTATAAACAGGTGATTGTGACGATTAATTGTCTAAGTTTGAATCATCAGTATTTTGAGGTACATGTACTTGTTTCTAAAATCAAATAAAATGCAACTATAAAAATCTTTAAAAAAGAGTTTTTATACTAAAAATATAAAATCAGAAAGGTAAATCAGTGTGAATTTGTATTATAAATGTGAAAAGTGTACAAATTTGAAATTATGTACACGCAAAGTACAGAAAAATTATGAATATTTTTGAGTTTCTTTTCATACATTCTGAAAATGACCTGACTATCATCAACAACATCCTCCCCCTGTTCCTTTTTTGCTTCCTCCCCGTGAAAACTTGAATCATCATCAAATGCGTTATTCGGGCTGTTTGTTGAGGAATCATTTCACTGATTGCGCTTGAAAATTTATCTATATTTTTCTCCATTACTCCTAAACCAGTCTTTTTTCTGTCTCTTCGATCTTTCGCAAAATCAGCCTTTGCACGCGCTTTCAAATTTCTCCACAAAGATTTTACTTGCGTTATACTTCTGGTATTTACCCCATGCCTTGCATTGAATGCATTTTCAATATTTTCCCATTCCTTTTGTTTTTCTTACAGATCATTATCCCATCATTTTTTTTAATTTCAATGAAAGATTTTTTTCACTCACTAATTCAAGAAGTACAGCCTTTTCCAATTCTGTAGAATTTGGTGCCTTCTTTGATCCCATATTCAGAATGAATCCTGGTTTAACCTACCCTCATGTTTGAAATACCTGAATGACAGGTCAGCAACCCAACAACAGCTCACCTGAGTACAACTTAAGCTGGAGTTAAGTCAAGTGTTTACCTGATCCTTAGATTAGTCATTAAACCCAGGTAACCTAATCTGTGTGCAAGTGGCCATCAGTTTTACATGCGTTTACTTGTATCTATTTTGGAATTTTCAACTCGTTTTCAAAATATTAAAAAAAATTGATTAAATACTTGATATTTCACTACGATAAACGATAACTCTAGTTCGATGCGAAATGCAGTTTCCATGCAAAATGCAAAACCGCCACGATGTTGAAACTACAACAGGCGGCGTTTTATAATTGAATTATATATATATATATATATATATATATATATATATATATATATATATATATATATATATATATATATATATATATATATATATATATATATATATATATATATATATTAGGGATGGCAACGAATATTCGAACATTCGAATATTCATTCGATGAGTTGATATTCGAATATGAATTTAAGATTCGAATATTCGGTGTTTTTCAGATTTAATAAAAAGAAGTACTGTGTTTGATAAATTTTGATTAGAACAGTGCTGGAATTATCCCTGTTTAATTTACTATCGATCAATTTCGATCGCCTGATTTCTTTCACTACTTTCTTATCTTATAAATCTTCTAAATTACATGTATTTTGTTTTGAGTAAGGTGTTGTAATGAATTGTACAATAATGCTTTATGTAAAATACAAAACGTACTTTCATAGCTTTTATTAGTTATAGATACGATCGGATCTAGAATCGAGGACAACAAATGAATTCTAAGAATATCTAAAAGGCGTGAAGAGTATACTTATCAAAATAAAATTAATTGATCATTGAATGAATGTCCGAGAGAATTAATCTGTAATTACACGTATTGAAATCTGAACAGTATACCGTTACGGCTATCTTGCCTTTTGTAAGACGACTGGTTCCTCAGTTGGAGCTACTATAAATACACGATTCATTTGTTAAAATTATACTTTTCTACATTTAAATCAATTATTTATTTCAAACATTGACAAATATCAAATGGAATTTCTTATTGTACACCTACAAAAGTCTTCATACAATTTTACTGCCTATATAAGTATACCTACGAAGGTAGGATGATGCATATTTAAAGTAAAACAGATTTTATTTATTTTATCGAATATTCGAATATATTCGAATACTTTCATTGAATATTCGAATATGAATTATTGACAAAATTGACACCCTAATATATATATATATATATATATATATATATATATATATATATATATATATATATATATATATATATATATATATATATATATATATATATATATATATATATATATATATATATATAAAGAATATTTATACTTCATTGATTTATACTTCATTGAGAGAGAGAGAGAGAGATCCTATACCATAATCATTATCATACATGAAGCAGAAGCCATTCCATATTGAGGCATTTTATTTACAATTCACAAATTAAACATGTATATAGATGTCTCGATATGTCATGTTTACATAATCCTCCATCATTTCACATAGACAGGCTCTGTAGTTTCTCGTTCGGTGACGATTAGTTACACTCTCAGGTAAACTTGTCCAGTTTATCAAGCCATTTGTCTTTTGAAGTTCCTTCAATTTCTTCATTATTAACGTTTTTGCTGTTTCCTTCAAAAACCAATTGTACATTAATATTGCGACTTTAAAAATTTACTAGTTTCTCTAGTATCTTATCTTGCATTTGGTTTTAGTTGGATATCGATATGATTCTATTCAAGATAAAAAGATGGAATTTACAGAATTCCAATTATAGGGTGTCCACATTGCTTCAGCAAGGAAAAGTATATAAACATGTACAAGCAAAAGAGAAAGAGCTGACTGAAAACGTGTAGAGATTCAAATATCACAATGTGTCAAATCTTAATGAAGGTATTGAAACAATGCCTATATTAACTCATTTATATCCGGATCCATGGTTGGTCTTATTTCTTTCAACAATGTTGATAAATATTTCTGAAAAATATGACTGTCTCATTTTAAATCCGTCAAATGAAAGTGTTGTATCAAATTTTGTATATCTTTGCACAAAATGATATTAAATTTCTTACCTCGCATTCAGTGACATCGTATTTGAATATGTAAAGCTGATTTTTATGTAAAGAAAAATGCAAAATGAACGTTTAAACATGGTAAAGAATAAGCCATTTAAAAGAAGAAAAGTTTTTGTTACACAAATCACTAGTTGTAAAACTTCAGATGCATGTACATAAAAATTATTTTCGCATAATCACCGGTGTTAGATAGATCTGTCCACTGTGAGACAGCAGTGTGAGATTTTTCTGTCTTACACTGTGTATTACTACACTAACGTAAACATTCCTTCTTATAAAATACTTGTAAAAAATGTCTAAAAATAATCACATATTCTTAAAATGTTGTTGTTTAATTTATTTAATCAAACTTATTTTTATTCAAAAGATTGTCATATTTTCACTTTCTAAATGACACTATTTGTAGGTCGCGAAAGGATTCTTCTAAAAATGTTACGCTGTCGGTGTTTTTAAAAGTTCAGTTTATATAATTCAGAATGATTTAAGTGTACTTAAATTTATTTTCTGAGTTTACACATAATGTGTAAACCATTTTCAGGTACGCTTTCTTTGATGGTGTATTCAGATTTTTAATTGGATGCTAAATTAAAAATATAAATTTTTCAATGGAGATGACATGCCGTTATTTTGGATAAAATAATGCGAGAAAAATAATCATTCATTACATACTTATGTGGGATAGTGAAATTCCACCTCGGGGCCAAGATTCACTGTCTAGGACTCGGCAAAGCTTCGTCCTAGACTATGAATCTTGTCCCCTCGGTGGAATTTCACTATCCCACACTCGTAGTAATGAATGATTCTATTAACATCAATATAAAAAGTTTAAACTGATATCATGAACATCCGTGCTTTTTGACTTTATCTCATTTAGCTAATATCAAAATCATACCATTTTTTAAAATTATAATCAAAACTGGAAACTGCAGGTTAAAAGTGCAAAGGACTGTACAGATTTGTAATAAATTAAGACAAATTTTATGCTTATTTTATAAATAACAAGACTTTACTATAAACGTGATGACTTTAATTTTTCTATTGTCAACTTCCTGTAATAACTTATTAGGAATATACCCGTAAAATCTGCATATAGAGTTAATGTTTCCCAGTTGATTAGATACATTATAGTATGTTCTACGTACAGACGATTTCTAAAGCGAGACAAGCTATTGACTTAAAAGTTCATGAAACAATAGTCTCGTTTATAGTCATCATTCGCAAGTTCTATGGTCGATACAAGGACCTTGTCAGCAAATACAACCTGTCATTTAGTCGAATGCTGACTGACGTTTTCATACTAATTGTAAGACAATTATTTACATACTGAGTTGTCCCGTTTTTATTGATAAGTAGCACACGGTGGGTGTGACAGGTCGACAGGGGATTTTTTTTCTCCTCCATGGCACTGATCCCACCTCTGATGTTTTTAGAGGCCCATGTTTGCTCTGCTCCTGATTTGTATTGTTCAATAGACTTTTGAGTATGTTTACTGTTCCTTACCTCCATATTTCATTCAATACTTTTTATACTTACTATTTATTTTTCTTAGAAGTAACATATGCTATGTTTTTTTTTTATTAATTTAAGGATACTGTAGGTTTTGAAAGAAGTGTCTTATTGTTGTCAAAATACACGAGGCATTTACTGCTTCTGTGGAATTTCAAGTTGTATCGACATACTGTTGAATGGATACTTGAAGAAAGCTAAAATGATTAATAAAAATTTTTAAATTATGTAAAACTAGAAATATGTTCATAGGACGGGAATGCCTAGGGTATATTAGTAATGCAACATAAAAATTTGTATTAGTGTATGAAGTTTGATGAGAATATCTTGAATAGTATCTTTAAAATTGAAATTGAAATCTAAAAAAAAAATGGATATAGATGATAAATTCTCACCAATATAGATAACAAATTCTCGCCAAATTATGTTAAGTACATAAGCTTACATAAAAATATCTTAAATGGTTTCTTTAAAACTAAGCAAAATGCAAATTCAGGAAAAGTGAGGTCAAGGTCATAGGAAAGTTCAAGGTCAAAAGTTTTTGATGCAGTTGAATAGCTTTCACTTATATGTATCAGTACATGAAGTTTGATTTAAAAAAAAAATAAATGGTTTATTTAAAACTGAGCTAAACACTTATTTAAGAAAAGTGAAATCAAGGTCAAAAGAAAAGTCAAAAAATGTTGATGCAGTTGAATAGATCCCATCAGTATGTATGAGCATATGAAGTTTGATAAAATTATCTTGAATGGTTTCTTTAAAACAGCTAAACACTAAAAAGTGAAGTCAAGGTCAAAGAAAAGGTCAAGGTCAAAAAATGTTCAAAAAATGTTCATGCAGTTGAATAGCTTACTTCAGTATGTATCAGCATATGGAGTTTGATTACACTATCCTGAACGGTTTCTTTAAAACTGAGCTAAAACAAATTTAAGAAAAGTGAGGTCAAAGGAAAGGTCAAGGTCAAAAAATGTTAATGCAGTTGAATAGCTTGCTTCAGTATGTATCAGCATACGAAGTTTGATTACACTATCTTGAATAGTTTCTTTGAAACTAAGCTTGGAACGGAGCTAAACGCAAACGGCGACGAAAGGACAGAAGGACGGAAGACGGACACGACAAACACTATATGCCCCGGCCATATTCATGGCGGGGCATAAAAATAATTTTATTATTCATGTTAATGTATATTGTTCTATTTTCCTTCAAGTTCTTTTATAATTCATACATGTACATGTAATGTAAAACACAGATAGAGTTGAAACTTACTATTCTCCGGCATGCATATATAATGCATAACCCACAAGGACAGATAGAGCACAATAGAGTCAATCCAGAGATAAAAACACCAATTCTAAGGTCTCTGTCATACAATTTGCTTCCAGGAATGCCGCTTAGTGCGTACAATGCTCCAAAGATGAAAAAGACAACAAACAGTAGGATAAATAATGCACAACACCGCCATTTAAGGGTCGTCAGGACTGGATAATTCCCAAAAAGATATCTTTTGTTTAGGTCATTTATAAGAGCACCGTAGTGGTTTTCAAGCTAAAAAAAGATTATAAAGTTTTATCAAACCTTTACAATCCGTTTAAATGTTTTATATTGGTTATATTTGTAATACTGAATTATCTATAAAAGTATCAACCTGAGTTGGATCAACGCTAAAGGAACGGATCTTTTCCTCTTCGAATGTCTCTAATGGTGGAAACCTAAATGAGAGACCATATTGGGCATATTTTGCTTTACTGGCAATTTTCCGGCATAGAACAACACCATTCTGTGTTGTGGCTACAAAAAATATGAATAAAAAGAAAAGAACTATTTTGCTTCTGTAGAAAATCACACGCTATTGCATAATTATGTATTTTCTCTTAATCTCACACTACTAATCTCACCTGATCTGTCTTGATGTAATGGATCCAGAGATCCTGCCAAAATAACATGAAATTTGATAACTACTAACAAAGTTTCTAGAAGTTACATTAACATGTGAAAGAACAGTGGAGATTTGCTAGGATATAAACTCACCGGGATGATTAAAAGCTTCGTAAATTTTCGCCGGAACATCTAATTCTTTTTGTGCATCGATGTACACAAATGACTTTAAGAAAGATGGTAATTCTTTATGCAAAGGCTTTAAAACGAGTGGAATCACATTTAAGTTATCAACATCTGTGAATGAAAGTGTGCATGCTTCACGTGCTTCGGTCACACACCAATGACTTTGAACGTAATATGGACTCAAAATCAAAAGAACTTTAACACTATGAGCCATTTCGTCGCTGATATTTTCATCTATATTTTTTCCAGGAATAAAATCTCTTTCGAAATCCATACACTTAAGATGAAATCTGTTTTCCATCTGTTCGCGTATCATGTTGGCATGTTCCCTGTCTTCTGAACTGTAAGATACAAATAAATGGTACTTCTTTCCGGGAGGGAGGGGTATTACACAGTCTGAGACTGATTGAAGAATTTCATCTTGTCCGAGTACAGTTTTTTCCTCAGTTTCTTCGGCATGCTTTGTTAAAGTATCATCGCTCGCTTGCCCCTCTTCCTTGTACAATTCGTTTAATTGCGAACATGAATTTGGTGACTGTAAATGATTTTCCTCAATAACGATTATTTCGTCGTCGATGGGTAATAAAGGAATCATTTCTTTCGACATCTATATATTCACTCATCTGATTCACAGGAAGGTGTCGTAATCTTAATGTTTATGTTCAAACGGAAACTTTTTAATGACTGTTAGTCTCATTTTTCCAATTATGGAAGCACCTTCCTCTCATTAATAAATGTCAATGCAAAGCAGTTTGCAAAATTGACATGGAATGCTTTCTTAATGTTTTCTAGATATTGTAAAAATGAACTTTTACATATATGAAGGTTTCCTGGCAGTTTTGAAATATTTGGAATATTTTTCTTAGACCTAAAAAGACATACATATCTACTTTTTATGCGACCATTGCCTTAACTTGTCACCATATTATGAAAGTCGTGCAAACGATGATTCTATTCTAGTAAGCAGTTCTGTGATGAGGCATTATTCACACTTTCTACAAATTTTATTTTGCTGTATTTTGACACTGCAGGTAGGTTATCTTCTTTGTAGATTTCTATTTTCAGGTAAGTAACGTTGTATAAAACATTTTTCTGGAAAATGTATTTCAACTGCAGTGTCTATTTTTAACATATGGTTTCCCCAATTTATTTATAACTAATTATTAAATTATGAAAAAATGTGGATTTAAATAAAAAATGAATAACTTTTGTTTAAAAAGAAAATATTTAAAAAAAACAACAACAAAGAACATACCTACACGCACTCTTTGGAATTCCTAGCTTAATATGGGCAATGTCTGAATCAAAGAACATAGTGTTATACTGTTATAGACAGTAATATATACTGAAATATATTTTTAAAATTCAAATACCAAAATTAAAGTCCTGAGGATAGTAACTATGGAAAGCCAATTTAACATATATTCAAATATTTGAACCTATCTTCAACTAATTGTACCAATCTTCAAATCAATTGTACCTATCTTCAAATCAATTGTACCTATCTGTAAATGAATTAAAGATAGGTTTAATTCAATTATACATATCTTTAATTCATTTGAAAATAGGTACAAACGAATTGAAGATAGGTACAATTGATTTGAAGATAGGTACAAATGCCACGAATTAAAGATAGGTTAAATTGATTTAAAGATAATTGCAATTGAATTAAACCTATCTTTAATTATAAAGATACTACAATAACAACTACTCACCATAAATATGCTTTGTTCGGTTCCCTCCATGTTCCAAGTCACTGTTAGAGGGAGTTTTCTTTATTTTCTATAACACAAAATGAATTGAACCTAGGTATAATTGAATTGTACCTATCTTCAAATCCTTTGTGGATATGATTCAATTGTACAAATCTTCAAATCAATTGTACCTATCTTTAAATCAATTGTACCTATCTTCAAATGAATTAAAGATAGGTATAATTCAATTGAACCTATCTTTAATTGAGTTAAAGATAGGTGTAATTCCATTAAAGATAGGTGTAATTTATTAGAACCTAGTAGGTTTAATGATTTAGAGATAGGTATAATTATTTACACCTATCTTTAATTCAATTGTACCTATCTTCAATTGATTTGAAGATAGGTTCAAATATTTGAATATACATGTATGTTAATTTGGCGTTCCATAAGTAACTCTGGTGTTTTATATGGTAAGATATGATGCTTTTACATTATATGCCCGCGTGACGCAGTGGTTAGAGCGTTTGCTCGACAGTCGCGGAGTAAGGAGTTGATCCTTTCGAATCCACTGTGCGACGTGGAGACCGGTCATTCGAATGAGACCGTATAAACCGAGGTCCCGTGTCGAAGTAGGTGCTGGCACGAAAGAAATCCCTCTTTGCTCAAGGCCGTAAGTGCCGAGTATAGGTCTAAATTTGCAGCCCTCCGCCAGCAAGTGGCTTCTCAATATGGGACGTTTAACAACAAACAAACAAAAACCATTATATATTCTTCATTATAATGAGGTGCTTTTGCATAATGTGTCAGCGTGACTGTGGTTTTTTTAGTATGATCAGGTGTTTGTGGGGTTTCTTTTTATTTATGACAATTTTATATTTATATTGTATGGTGATTTTTCTTTATATGCTGTGCTTTTTTTCATTCTGATGAGGTGATCACTAGGAACCAGACATATGGTCAATTACTTTGAAAACTAGTTATTGATATTTTAGGATTACAGTTGCAATTGAATCACTTTCTTCAAAGCAATGTTAATTGATGTACCTACTATATTCGAAATGTTTGAACAACATTTTAATGTATATTTTTAATTATTTGCACTTATATACCGATGACACTGTATTGATAGCTGAATCTGTTCAACATTGATTGCTCTGAAAATATTGTAAAAATTTGAAATCAAATATTAACATTAAGAAAACAAAAATCTTGATAATAAATAAGGGAAAACAGAAAACTATGAATTCTTGTACGACGAAAAGATTATTGAAATCGTTAGTGAAATTAAATATCTGGGTATCATATTTATTTAGAAAAGCAAAAAAAAAAAAAAAAAAAAAAAAAAAAAGTAGAAGAATAGGCCCATGGGCCACATCGCTCACCTGAGCAATTTGGCTTAGGAAAAAGCAGAAATGATTTCAGCATGAAAAGTAAAAATATAAAATTGGGGGGGGGGGGACGAATTTGAATTTACACTACCTGAGGATGCTTCCATATTTCTTCGACTAATTATGGCTTTAATACATTTTTCAAGAAATTTTCCTATACGCTCGATCTTCTATTGCGGTCTTGCCCTACCCCCGGGGACATGATTAGAACACACTTGAATCCACACTACTTAAGGATGCTTCCGAATAAATATGACGTATTATGGCTTTAATATTCTTGAGAAGAAAATTGTTATTGATATATGCTTTATATTCCTTTGAATAACTTTGATCCCCTGTTATGGTCCTTCTCTACTCCTGGGGGTCATGATTTGAACTAATTTGAATCTACATTACTTGAGGACGCTTCCATATAAATATGATTCTTCATGGCTTTTGTTGCTCTTGATAAGATCTGAAAGTGTTTAGGAAAAAAGTGCGGAAAACCAAGTGGGACAGACAGACAGAGGGATAGACGGACAGACAGACGGACGGAGAGACGCAGAGGAAACCTATAGTCCCATTCGGTTTCACCGGTAGTGGACTAATAATCATTATTACAGTCAAACTCTGCTCGGAAATTCTCTAACTCGCTAGTTAACCATTAAACATAGAGATATGGAGGATAACCAATTGCTGGGCAATAACTCAAATAATTATTTCGTGTAAAAGTTTGTGGTTAAAGTGTGATATCAATTAATGTATTAATCTAAATTACATGTACGTATAACTAAGTGCTCCATTTTTGTACTTTATACTTCTACTGGGTGGTATTTTGATTGATATGTTTCATACAAATGTGTTAAGTCTTTGTTTTTCTGCTAATTTTGACTGCTATCCGATCAGTACAGAAGGCTCGGGGGGGGGGGGGGGGGGCTCGACAGGGGATGCCTTCTCCTCCTTGTCACCTGATCCCAGCTATGGTACTTCCGTGTTAATGTGGCACTAATATTATTCATTTTATATGGCGCACTTAAAACTGACTGTAATTCTAGTAGTTTTTATGCCCCCGGATCGAAAGATCCCGGGGGTATATTGTTTTTGTCCTGTCTGACTGTTTGTCTGTTTATCTGTTTGTCTGTTTATCTGTCTGTTTGTTGTCAATTTAACCTTGCCCATAACTTTGGATTGGTTGAAGCTATGACTTTCATATTTCACTTGTGTATTCCTTGTGATAAGACCTTTCTTTGGCTACCATCAAATTTGACCTTTTGACCTTGACCTTGACCTTGGAGTTTGATCCACTTTTGCAAAATTTTATGAGACTTTAACCTTGGCCATAACTTTTGAACAGTTGGTGCTTGGGATTTCAAACTTCACATGTGTATTTTTTGTGACAAGGCCTTCCTTTGGATGCCAACAACTTTGACCTTTTGACCTTGACCTTGGAGTTTGACCTACTTTTGAAAAACTTTAACCTTGGCCTTAACTTTTGAACAGTTGGTGCTTGGGGTTTCAAACTTCACATGTGTATTTCTTGTGACAAGACCTTCCTCTTTGACCCTTTGACCTTGACCTAGAAGTTTGACCTACTTTTGAAAAACTTTAACCTTCGCCATAACTTTTGAATGGTTGGTGCTAGGGCTTTCATACTTCACATATGTAATCCTTGTGACAAGACCCTCCTTTGGATACCAATAACTTTGACCTTGACCTTGACGTTTTACTTACTTTTAAAAAACCTTAACTTTCGCCATAACTTTTGAACAATTGCAGCTAGGGCTTTCAAATTTCACAGGTATATTCCTTGAGACAAGACCTGTCTTTGGGTACCAACATTTTTTTTTCTTTTGGTCTAGATTTTGACTTGCATTTGAGAAACTTTAACCTTCGCCATAAGCTGCCATACGGGGGCATCAGTGTTTCACAAACACATCTTGTTGATCAATGTATCTCTCTCTCCCTCTCTCTACGTATGTGTGTGCTCTCAATTTAAGGTCATCGCTATATCTATAAAATTGTTGTTAAATCCTTGTACAGCATGTGTGCCACAGTAATCAATATTAGGCCCCTTTTTGTTGTATATTAATGAACTTCCCTAACATGTATGTCATACAAACATTGATATGTCTGCTGATGATGCAATTCTGCATGTTTAACAAAATGTATGCTGATGGAGTACATATAGATCAAACGCTAAATTTTCATAACTAACCATGTAGACTCGGTCTGTAAATCTTTATCACATAAATTATTTACCTTGCGAAAAATCAAGAGATTTCTTCCTCTGAAAACTAGAAAACTGTTTTACAATGCCTTTATCCTGCCTTCTGTTAATTATTGTCTGACTATCTGGGGGTAATGCACCAGCTAGTTACTTGGAGAGAATCCATAAGCTCCAAAAGCTAGAATTATTCTTGATGCTGCCCCTGGTCTCCATCTAAGGCATTTTTTGAAAAATTAGGCTGGCTATCTGTTTTTGATTTAGTAACTTTTCACAAATGTATCTTGTTGTACAAAATATTCAACAATCAGAGCCCTGCTGACCTGCAAGATTTATTTATTTTTCAAACTTCTAATGCTTACACTTAACGTTCAGAATTTAAATTTGACCTTCGCCTGCCAAAACACCGAACAAATTTGTTTAAAAATTCTCTCCAATATTCTGGTGTTCATATTTGGAACAGTTTGTCGTTAGATATAAGATGTGCACCAACTCTATCAATCTTCAAACGAAATGTTGAAAAATATATCTTCATCAATATAATTTCATTACTCTGATTTATGATGGATTGATTGATTGTATGTTGTTTTACGTCCCATTCGAGAATTTTTCAGTCATATAGAGACGTCACCATATACCGGTGAAGGGCTTCAAATTTTGACCTTTACTCGGCACTCAGGGCCATTGAGCAGTGAGGGATCTTTATCGTGCCAACGCCTGTCGTGACACGGGGCCTCGGTTTTTTAAGGTGTCATCCGAAAGACCCGCAACTCTCACTTCAAAGTGCCGAGCGCATGGCGAAGGAACTGTTACTACCCATTTTTTATCGACTTTGTCAGTAGCGGCCGAGATTCAAACTCACAACCTCCCGATCACGGAGCGAGCGCTCTACCGACTGAGCTACCGTGAACGGTACTCTGGTTTATGTCTTTTGAACATGTATATGGTGTCAAATCTTACAAATGCGACATTTTGTTACTTTATATGTTACATAATATATTTCTTTATTTTTATTATTATTATCATCATCATCATCATCATGTGGCATTGTACATGTATTATAATTCAATTGCTAGTTGTTAATCTTTGCTACTTTGATGTAATATTTGTTGTAAGAAGAAGGCCCTGAGGAAGAATAGTGTCTCATAATAATAAGGCTACCTTCTCTAAATAAGTACTATTATTATAATTGTCTTACAGTGATGTGATTTCTGATAAAATATTAATGATTCTAAATGAATACATTATCCCTTTTCACATCTTTGACAATTACTAGTGTGTAAATGTAATTATTTATACAAATGTCTTATTTTATTTTATTCAGAACCTTTTCGTTTTATTTTTTTTTTTTTTATTTCATTTCTCAAATTCCATAGCAAGATAATCTAGTCTTCAAATGAATAGGTTATTTGGTAACTTGTATTTCACTATTTTGCAACTTAATTGTCTACATGAAAATTTAGTTACACATGCTATAGTTTTCTTTTACGATGTAAGGTTCAAGAGTTATTCGAAAAACCAAATTGATGTTATTATATCTATTTCATTATCTAGGAAATTCAACCAAAATGTTTACCAACAGAAGTTTCAATTACTTCGAAAACATGGTATCAGACAAAAACCATATGCACAAAGAGTTGTCCAGCGAGTCATTATGTATTCAAAGGAATGTGTAACGAAGATTGTCCATCATTTACATCTAAAACTGACAATGGATTTATAAAGTACTGCAATAATAGCGCTATCAATTACCTAGAATGTCCTGCTTTTATGTGTAATAAAAATTACCCCTACTGTTTTGAGGGAAATTGTCTTCCTTCTTGCCCGGAATACACAGTCGGTTTCAATCATTCGTGTTTAATGGAGTGTCCATATGAAGCACCATGACGGCGTATGCTTGCCGTGGTGTCTGTTATACCGGAGGGAAATCATGTTCCAGGAGTTGTCCAAAATCTCATCCGTTTGTTTTCCATTCCCCGAAAATTACACACTGTTTACACGAGTGCCCTGACTTCACAGCAATAAATCAAAATTCCTGTAATTTATCGTGCCCAATTGATTTTTCTTTACTTTTCAACAGAAGCTGTTTACAAAAATGTCCAGCTACGCACCCATTTATAGCTGTAAGGATTTCTTCATTCAATAAAATTTTCATTTGTACGGATAGATGTCCAGAGGAGATGGCATCGTACAGAAATGTTTGTATTTCTGTGTGTCCCAACGGTACATACCTTGATAATGGACGGTACAAAAAATGCCTTGAGAAGTGTGAAGACACGCGGCCGTTTATATACACAACAACAGCTCTGAGAAATTCTATTTATTATCAGCAGTGTCTCTCGAATTGTCCGTCTGGAAAATATCGGTATGCCTTACATGAAAAAAATGTATGTGTCAGTGAATGCCCAAAAGAATACTCCATATTTAACGGCACTTGTTTATCAAAATGCCCTTATTCCTATCCCTTGAAGAATTCTTTAGGCATAAACGGAAATAATAGATATGTATGTGTGAAACATTGCCCAAGAAATACATTTAAATATGACAAGAAGTGTTTTCGTCTTTGTCCAAGCAATTTAGTGCATTATTTGTCAAATTGCTCATCTAAATGTCTCGGTAGTTATCCCTTTTTGCTAAGGCACAACAGAACTTGCCTTTCCGAATGTCCCTTAAAATACCTATATAATGGTAGAATATGTGACGATAAATGTTCGGAGAATGTTTCTTATATAGAAAACAGGACCTGTACTGCACAATGTTCTAACAGGAGTATGTTATATAAGGAGTCAGTCATTGGCAAGGAATGCGTTAATTTGGACACCTGTCCAAATGAAACTATGCTACTGAAAGGGACAAGGGAATGCATAGATATTTGTCCAAAGGAAACCCATGTGGTGATAAATAACATATGCACAAAAATCAGTGAATGTTTAAATTCCTTCGTCTTTCAACCTACAAACCAAGGAAATTTATGCACTGAAAAATGTCCCCAAAATCTACTTAGCAATGGAAGACATTGTGTATCTCGGTGTCCTGGTAATAAAGTCATAATTGAAAAGAACTGTACAGATGAATGCACATATACTAAGCCTAGCAAATTCAAAAACGAAAGTATTGGTGGTATCTTTTGCATATCAGTGTGTCCAGATGGGTTTGTAAATTACAGGAACGAATGTATCGACAAAAATGAATGTATTTTCAATAAGCAGTCGTACGTTTTTAACAAGACTTGCTTCGAAAAGTGTCCAAAAAGAACAGTTCCAATTAACGAGGGCGACATGTACCACACATGTAAGGCAGTGGATATTGCTCAGGCTTATCAGAACGTAGTCACTCTTTTTGCGTACGCTGGGTTGTTTTCAGTCCTTTTCTACTTTGTATGCTGTTACAAAGGAAGCCTGTATCGTTTTAGAGCAAAGGCATGTTGTGAGGTAAAATATTTTAATAATTCAGAAATATTTCTTTAATTATTTATATATTTTATTCGTTTAAGCCAGAGATATCTGCCACGCGCAGGACCAATGGCATTAATCAGGTCATAAATATTTAGGTAAGACATATTTCTTTTAAAAAAAGAATTTCTCGAAATATAACCATTCATTATAAATATTGATTATATTGTAGCATTCGGCTACAGACACAAACAATCTAATAGAGGACACAGACATCAAGGCAACCATCAATGACAAGGAACAGTATGAAGAAGAAATTATCGAAGTCTAACTACAGTGAAAAATCCAGACAGTATATTCCTCCGTGTAGCACATTCATATATTGTAAACCAACTATTATTCGCGTCAATATTTATTCGCGAATCGTCAGTTTGAAATCAATCCACGACAATTAATTTTCGCGACTGAAGAAACCTTCATACAAATACAAAGCAAAATAAATGGTTCGCGGCGATTCGTGAGTTAGTAGGTCGCAAAACTCGCGGATATTTCTCGCGAGTGAATAAAAGTTGGTTAACAGTATCCGAGTTTATTCATTTAAATACCCAGAAAGTAAAGGTAGTTAAAGAAAAAAAAAAGAAATAATCATAAGATATATATCTTTTATAGAATTTCACAATAATAGTAAAATGTATTGAAATAAACATTTTAGAAGTATTACATGTATATGTAATATCTCTCTTGTAGTATGAAATCAATTGTGTCATACCTTTGCAATTTGTTACAAAGTTTTGGAGAATTGTATTTTTTCATTCCATTCAACTTTTTCCCCATTTCATATTTTCGAATTTTGAAAAATCTGCTCTTATTTATGTAAAATTTTATATTGAATTGTATCAGTTCACTATTATTTATTTACGTTCGTAAGGTTTTTATTTAAACTGTAGTGTGTTACAGCTGTATATATGTATGTTAATATTGTTTTCAATCAAAACGGTTTATGAATGTTGTCTGATCGATTGATTAAATAACACTAAAACAAGAAAGTCATTATGAAATCATTTTATTCTGCATTTCATTCTGCAACCAGCAAAAGCAAGCGAAAGATATTCCAGCTTGTTTCAATCCTTGGAAAAGATTTTATTTACATATCCCAGTAAATATTTAATAACTTGGATCCACCTTCCATTTTCTACAGTGGACATAGATTGTACATGTAATAAAGATATTGACCTCAAAATTAAATAAAAGCGGAAATTCTTGAACTTTGAAAGGCCCTGCTCACCAACTCCACAGTATTCCGGGGGAAATCAAGGTAAATGTAATTCTAGCAATGTTCTGTCCCCACTAAAAATTTAACATAAAACTTTTATATGCTGTGAAAGTTACATGTATATCCAGAGTGTTTTTTTTTAATGAAAAAGGTGAAGATAACGAACAGTGATCGATCTCAAAAGATCAATAAACAATACAATTCTGTGAACAGGGACAGGGCATAAAACACGGGCCCCTGGAAAAATTAAATAATACCTTCAACAAATAAATTGTAATTTGCATACAGCTTTTCATCTTAGTTTTACTTGATTAAATCAAAGTTTTTTTCCATAAAACTTGAAATTAGACAATTATCAATGACATAATTTGTTTGTCACCACCGCTCCTAAATAGACGTTAAATTTTAATTGAAAAGCCTACACAAGCCATCTAAATATAAATGAGAATCCACCTTTCGTGAGGCCACTATCTATTGATAGGTGTTATCTTCATATCACACATAATCTTTAAGTCTACCCACAATTTGTTATCATTTGGTCGATGGGTTTTGAAAAATTAAAAACGGGCTGGACAAAAGAGAAGCGAAATGTCGAGACAAGACACAGAAGAAACAAATCAAGGCGAAGAGGAGCAGAGGCGGATCGAGGAATTTGTCGTGTTGTTCTTCAGAAGACTCTCTAAGGGCTTCCTCAGCGGGGTGGGCTTGTACAGCGGTGTGAAGGTCATATCGGCCCTGATGAGAAACCCCTTCCGAGAGAAGTAAGATATCCTTTTTTTAACATGAAAAATTGATTATTTTCATGGCAAATTCTTTTAAAAACGTAATGATTTTGAGAAAAAAAAAATAAAAACATCAACAACAAAAGTAAAAAACAAACAAACAAAACATGTTTATTTTTTAAATAATCTCTTCAAAGTTTTCTTTATAAGATAGTTAAACTTAAAATCAATTAAATCATGCTTTTTCTTTCGTGTTTTACTTGATTGTCTTTATAGGTGATATCCGTGATAGATTTATCTATTATGAAACAACATTCATTCTATTGCGACTAGATCAAACAAAGTTGATTATAAGGGTGCACTTTGTATATGTGGGGAAAAAAAGATTACATAGTGTTTTTTTCTTCTCAGATTACCGAGCGCCATTAAGGAAATCTTCTCTATAGACTGCCTTCGTTTTGCCTCTTTTCTTGGACTATATCCTAGTATATATGAACTACTCAGAGAAATTTTTCAGCACTATAGGAAAAAGAAGGTATGGCTTACACTGAATAATAGCTCAGTAAAAACAAAATTTCATTTCATGATTTACATTTACAGACTGATATAGATACATGTATACATGTAAAATGTAGGGAGGAAATGTGAAGAATTCAAATAAATCACATTCTTTTAAAAAGAATCTTTTAATTGAATCATGAAGTGTGGCTTTTTAATTTACGAATAAGACGTTTACAATAATATGCTTAAGGATGGTTGGAACAACATGGCTGCCGGTGGATTAGCTGGTCTTACTTTATGTGTGGAGGACCCAACTCGCCGCCTAATCTTCTGTCTGTTTGCGATCTCCAGAGCGATAGGCGCCTTAATTTCCACCCTTGTAGCCAGGGAGAAGATACCAGAAATACCCTACTCGGAGACCATGTCTTTCTGTTGTTGTTGTGCATTCTTAGTTTATTGCACTGCACTAAATCCACAGCTTCTGAATACTGGTTATTATTTTTCTGTGCTGAAATGGTCCCGAGACTATACAGACAAAAAACTCCGGGTTTTGTTCAGAGAACCTGGTGACAGATTCTTGACTTGCCAGGAAGCTGGGTTACATAAAGATCACTGTTTCCGACACGCTGTCGTGGACTGGGTTAAGAGTTTCCCCGCCTTTGCCAAATTATACTTCCCCATACACGTGGCACCAGTCATAGTATTCAGACGCAAACTACTTCTTGAAAGGCAAGATTTTTTTCCTCTTTACTTTCTAAAAAAAATCGATTTCTATATATTTTATAGGCATAAAAATGCGACTCTTCAATTTTATTTCCTTTTTTTCATCTTTCAGACCATACAGAGTTATTAAGTCCATCTTGAAAAATACTCTGTTTTCTACCGCTTTCCTGGCGACTATGGTTATGTTGGCCAAATACGTAATATGTTTGCTGAGAAATTTATCACATAAACCCCCTCCTCTGTCTACATATGTACCCGCTGTAGCTGGATTTGTGTGTGGTTTTGGAGTTCTATTCGAAAGGGCATCTAGAAGGAAAGAATTATCACTGTTTTTAGTTCCGCACACACTTTATGCCCTGTATTTATGGGCAAAGCAGAAGAACTTTCTAAGAGATATTCCTTTCAGTTCAACCGTTTTATTCGCGGTGTCTATGGTTTCTGTGATGCACGCGTATGAACGTGAACCGGAATCCCTCTCTCTTCTCTTGAATGGAGTGTTGAGATATTTTATAGGTGAACGGACTAATGTACGTGTTAGAATCGGTAAACGGGTGAAAACTATCAGTGAAATGTTAGCCTAAATTTAATAATCTCCCATTTACAAGTTAAGCATTTTATAAACCTATATCACCAAAGAAATATCACTGTCATAATTTTCCACAGAGACTAAATTGTCCTGTGTACGAATGTACGACTTTAAAATGTCACTGTCCTGAAAAAAAATACTTTAAGTTCTACCGTTGTCATTTGTGATATTGGTATGATCTTTTTTTTTGTTTTGTTTTTAGTCTAATAAATACCGTACAAACCATCACAGTGAACTACTTGTAATATGCTGTGAGGCAATGTATATATATATATATATATATATATATATATATATATATATATATATATATATATATATATATATATATATATATATATATATATATATATGATACACATGTACAGTTTATGTTAGGGTATCATCATTCTATGCTGTATGTTTTTAAATAAAACTTGATGCTAAAAGAAAAATAATATTGATACTCAGAAGTTTTGCGGTATTCTCTACATACATGTATATGAATTTAATTTGCTCAGACAGTAATTATAACTGATCGACAAAATAAATCTTCTTATTAAATACTAGGTATGTGAAAAATAACTAAATAATCAAGCTTAAGAGATTATGTTTTTTAGCTACACATATAAGGGACGCTGAGGAAAGAAAAGTATCACTACAGTATATACGTAACCATGTGCACGTCCCTGCTTTATTTAAATCATATATAATGCCTAAGGCGTAATGTCCCTCTGTTCTAAATATCATTGAAAAAAATTAATTGATTTTTATCAACAATAAAACCATTAAATTCAAACGAGAAAAGGTATGAGATATGAAGCGATGCTTAATTTTTTCAAGATGAAAATTATTTCTAATTATAACACGAAGAAAATTTGAGACAGTTAACAGGAAGAGCACTTATTATAATTTATTATCATAAGATAAAATTAAAAATGTGAGATATACTAGTATTTGAAAACAATACTTAGTATCATACATATTGAATTTACATAAAAAAAAAAAAAAAAAAAAAAAAAAAAAAAAAAAACGGCGCTTTTTTTAAGTTAGAATATCACTTTATCTATTCTTGTAAAAAAAAAAAAAGGCCATCAAGAAGATTTAGTTATCTTTCTTTTCTTTTTTTTTTTTCATTTTTTCTAAAGAAATAATATATAAATACAACTAATAAAAATAATCTACAAAATACACCGTAAAGTTTACAACTTTTTAAGTTCTTAAACAGAAAATAATATATTTTAATATGTAAAATTAAAAAATAACTGTGTGCAAATGTTTAAGAAAGAAAGCCATAAATAAATACCAAATACATTAGCAAAAGAAAAGTAAACATTGAAAATGATCATTCTTCTTGCCAATGGGTTTGATTGTTATGTAGGAATATTACAGTTAAAGCAATATGAGCTGCATTTTTGATAGTTTTATTTTGCTGTTAAAATGTGCTGTTATGATACATCTGTATGTAAATTAAACTCTTATGATCAATAAGACTGAGATAAAGTATTAAATTGTTTCATAAGAAATATTTCTGCACAAGGGAATGTATAGTATTACATAAGAAATCAATATTGTACAGGACGACAATAATGTAATTTTGCTTTAATCAAAGCTTAAAATTAGTTCTTCCATCGCAAATAAAAACAAAAGAAGTTTATAAACGTTCTTTTTTAATTGTCATAGTTAATTACAATATTGCAACAAAAATTTCCGACATCAAAGTTGCAGCTCATATTGCTTTAATCAAGTAAAGGAATAAATAAATTAATTAATTTCTTTCGAAGATATCTCTCTTATCAAAAGGACATAAGACCTTAAATAAGGTTTTCCGTATCACCAAAAACATTATTATTCAATAAAGAAAAAATTCAGACAAAAAACATTAGTGTGAACTTCATTTAACTGTTGTTTGTTTTGAACCTATTTTATTGTATAATTGATACAAAGGGATTGATTACAAATTCTAACAACTTAGGAAAACATTTTCCTGGAATATATACAATACTTATAACTATAATGATTGTCGAATGAATTATTTACAGTTGTAGTGAAAATTTAAAGTTATGCATGATATATGTACAAAATATTTCAAAGACATTAAGTTTAACTGTTAAATAAATCAAAAAAAAAAAAAAAGCAATGGATTAATTACATCTGGAAAAAATCCCAAATTCAATTTATGAAAATTATGGAAGTTGGAGTTTCTACGAAATATGAAGATAACGAACAGTATTCAATCTCGAAAGTCTAATGAAAAGATACCAAATTGGAGCAGAGCAAACACGAACCTGAAAATTTAGAGGTGGGATCAGGTACCATGGAGGAGTGAGCATCCCCTGCCGACCGGTCACACCCGCCGTGTTAAGTTCTAATTAAAGGCGGTATGATGTCACTTTCCAAACGCTGACAAAGGCACCGTGAATACCCTACGGTATTGTGACGCTTAGTGATGCAGAAATCTAAGCACTCTGCAAGTTTATGAAGCTGTCTTTGAAAGTACATCTTGTGTAGAAGATTTTCTATTTTACTGCCAGCCTCTGCCTGAAACGTAATAAATAAATACAAAATCTATGTTAAAACACACTTCTAAGTACTAAGTGCCTTTCGTTAATCTTTCAATGCGTGACTTTGACTCAAGGCCATCACATATTTGTAGCTTATTAGTATTTCCTGTAGTATACTTCAATTAGTATTCATTTCATTTAAATATAAGAGGCTAAAGGGACATCTGATATATTTCATAGCACTGTTATTAGAGCCCCATTTTATCCCTAGGACCTGTACATCAAATGACTGTGTCTGATGATCATAGGCCTAACATTTAAAATGTATGTCACTTTGGCATACTTTTCGTCTTTCTAGTTATAATTATATTACCTTTTTAAACTATAATATTTTAAGTATGAGTAAAAACCCTTGACAAAAAATATATAAGACAGATTTGATAAGTATTCGCCATAAGTTCTTACGATATGGCCAACATTCAAAAAGGTTACGCACATCGCACTGATGGCCAAAGTATTTGCTCCTCGAACCTTCGGCTCAAGAGGAATAGAAATCTTTATTTTGGCTTAACTACATATAAATATTTAAATACAAACATACCTGGTTTTCTTCGTCAGTTATGTCCGGATTTCTTGATTTCAAAAGCTCACATAAATATTTTTAAAATAAAATTTAACATAAGCTGCAGAGTTGTTCTTTAACCTGAAATCTCTAGAGAGACTTTAGCGCTAATGAATTATACTTTAAATAAAGGAAGAAAAGTACTTTGATTATTTTGTTTTTCTGTTGCTACGGCAACACCAATTTACAAATCACTACTCGTTTAGTAAACTAGTTTTTAAAGTTTTAATGAAGATTCATATTAAATAGTCCCATTTAAACTGATGTTTAACGAATGCAAATTATAAGCGTGGATCGGTGAGAATTGAACCTGTCTGTGAAATGCATGACCGCTTTGACGTTCTTTAAGGCACATTCAGTTTTCAACCGTTATTCTTAAGCTTACATATAAGGAAATCAGCCAACACAAGTCAGCAAACTGTATTATAGTATGAGTTGGGTATTCGACACTTACAAAATTGACCGAGTCATAACTATATAATAAAGGTATATGAAATTTATATCAAAATTAGTTTTTCTCTATCGCAATCATTGAAGCCAGGGCAGACTTGTATAGTCTTAGGCAACAATTTTCAAAGGTATAACAGAACATTTTTGCTGAGTTTAAGAGCAAAATAATGTTTGTCAAACCCTCAAACTAAAATGATAATTTTATAGTTTCGTTCGCGGGTCCCACAAAAAGCATATTGCCCTCGAACTCATTCAAAAGATAGATATATAAAGTATAATATTGTTAACTTAATGCAAAATGAACTTGTGGTAAAATTTCTCCAATAATTATCTATTATGATAAAAGCACGAGCGTAGTTTCTGTTTTCAATATGATTTATTATTGGCATAGGTTGTAACTCGCCCATAAAATCAAAGCCTATGCAATCTGCCCATAGAGCTCTAAGAGCTCAAAGTAGTATGTTAATTTTATAATCGGAAAATATAACAGTATACGTCACAAAAATTAGGGTGTCATACTTTTTAGAAATTAAAGAGGCTTTGTCCATAATGAAAATTCCATGCTAGTAGACTTATAGCTTCCGATTTGGACTAAGATTTGTGCGCATGCGTTTGTGTATTACGTTGTCATCAATTATACACAAAGTTACAGTTTCTAGGATGAAAAAATATTATTCACTGCCATTTATTAAAATCTCGTCGCCCGCGTGGCGCAGTGGTTAGAGCGTTTGCTCTAAAGTCGCGTAGTTAGTAGCTTACTTTTACTTCGCGGGTTTGAATCCACTGTGCGACGCGTAGACCGGTCCTTCGGATGAAACTGTATAACGCGAGGTCTTGTGTTGCAGTAGTTACTTGCACGAAAAAAGATTCCTCACTACCTAAAGTCCGTAGAGTGCCGAGTACAGGGCTAAATCTGCAGCCTTCCACTGACAAGTGGAGACGTCTTAATGTTAATTCTCGAAAGAATGTTAAACAAACAAATAAAATAAAATAAAATCTTTGATTTATTGATCTTACCTGACAACTGTAAGTTTCACATTTATCTTACCTGACAATTTTCTGTTTCATAACGAACAACATTAACCTGTAATTCTTGTTAAGGTAGATAATATTAAATTACATAAGGAATAAAGAATAGGAAACCTGATGTATTCAATGCAAAACTTAGATTATTTTTTTGCAGAACTTTGATGGAAGTTTTATCTAGCCTCATAATTTTGCCGATATAAAGTACACATGTACTGTGAAAGACATAGCTTCTTTATGCGTGTGTTGCCTCAAAAATAACGTCTGATGAAATTTGTTTGATTTGTCAAGAAATTTTTGCTTCGGAGTGCCCCCCCCCCCCCCAAAAAAAAAATGAAAATGTTTGGTTATGCCCCATTCACCCACCCACTGAAATTGCTTATGTGTCTGCATCGAACTGTCAAATTATGAAAGATAATGCACAGATCGCATCAGAGCAAGTGAGTGATGCAAAGGTGTAGTGATTTTCGTAGATTTTAGTGTCTGCATACTTTTGTAAGATTTAAGACAGGAATACATTTTATTGCTTTATTGCTTGTCAGTAACATCCAAAAATTTAAATTTCTAGTGAACAATATTAAATCATTTATTTGCCAAAATGAAATTTCTGAGAAAATATAAAATCTCCTACTGTAACGATATATTTTGCAATTCAATATTGGAAATTTTCATACACGCTTGGTTTAAAATTTTAAATTTAACGAATTATTTCATAAATATTTTAGGTCCCTTGGGAAGTTTAAAGGCGTCAGCACACGAATGTAAAGTTAACTGTAAAAGATACGCTTTCTTTATAATCGTCCAAGACTATGAAACATAAGGATTTTTTGTAAAATGATAAGTTCTTCTTCCATATGATACTTTTTACTGACCGCACGACCTATAATGCAATGAGAGGAAGGAAATAAATAAACAACAAGCATTTTTTTAAACCTAAAATTTTAATTTTGAAACGGCAATTTACAAAAAGGACGGAATAAACATAGCTTTATTTTAAATATCCACAATATGATTCTGGTGATAGGTAGAAGTGAAAGTGAAACTAGCACACCGGAAGCATAAGTTGCGTCACTGACGTTATTCTTTTTATGTATGGCCACCGATAGAAAGACACTTCCAAGAATGAGAAAGAGCACCAGGAGGCTAACGTTTAAAGAGGCAAGTCATGGATAGAATCTTCCCTGCAAAACCGGATAAAACCGTAAGAGCAGGTGTGAACTCAACGCTTCATACACTGCATTGAATTGATTCATCAACTGAAATGGTAAAAAAAAATTCCTTTTAAAGGAATGATCGGCTTGGGATCGTAAAGGCAGCATTATGAAATGTCTTGAAATAATTTTGTAGACAATTCGTTTTATTTCAATTTATTTAATTTAGTATCTTTTTATAAGTTTATGTAGCCCTATAAACATGCTTTTCTTAACATAACAAATTTAAATTGAAGACCAAATTTTAGTCAGGCATTGTTGTTCTTTAGAGTAGTAAAACAACATTATGTTGCCTTTAAAAAATATTTTGTAACTGAGAAAATGTACAGAAGTTGACATTGTTTTGAAATGGGATGAGAGACATGAAATCCAATGGGCTAGATTTTTGTAAAGAAAAATAAAGCCGCAATAAATTACCTATTAAACATTTTACAGAGTTCCTAATTAAGTTGGATTAGTAATTATGTTCAGGAGTATCCCTAGCAAGGTAAGGTCTAAGAAAATAGTTTAAACGACCTTACACATAATTTAGTAAATGAATGTTTCCCGCTTTGCTAAAAAAATATGTGCAGAATCAATCGATACATTCTATAATTATTATACTTTCATGTTAAATACCATATTCTGATTGGTTTAGACGCATTTTACAATTTATGATGTTAGCCTCAGCATTAGCAACACAATTCTACGGCGAACCGTATGCGTTTAATTTACACGCATGTGGCATTATCGTTGTGATACTCATTATCAAGTGTGTTGCTTTTTGTTTGTATGTTGTTTAACGTCCCTCTCGAGAATTTTTCACTCATATGGAGACGCCCATAGACCATAACTGTACACATATATACCTCTAGCCCTAGGTCAAGGCCATAACTATACACATACATACATCTAGTCCTAGGTCAAGACCATAACTGTACACAAACATACCTATAGCCCTAGGTCAAGACCATAACTGTACACATATATACCTCTAGCCCTAGGTCAAGACCATAACTGTACACATACATACCTATAGCCCTAGGTCAAGACCATAACTGTACACATACATACCTATAGCCCTAGATCAAGACCATAACTGTACACATATATACCTCTAGCCCTAGGTCAAGGCCATAACTATGCACATACATACCTCTAGCCCTAGGTCAAGACCATAACTGTACACATACATACCTCTAGCCCTAGGTCAAGACCATAACTGTACACATACATACATGTACCTCTAGTCCTAGGTGATGATTACGTCGCAACCGCAAGAAATCATGGTATTCCATTACTGGAGCAAAGCTTCTCCACCCATGAATTAATTTTCTGTGTTTAGGTTTTAATGTTTTTGAAAATACGACGGTTCCGTTTGCTCTCAATTTCCTTTCTGCTAAAGCTGTCATTAAACAGGAATGAATTCAGTGTATTAGTAAGATTTTAAAAATGCATCATTGATATATATGAATTGCCATAAAAAGTATTTACCTATTGTCCCATATTTAAAGTTACAGATAACTAATCAATGAAAATGGATTGATGCTCTGAAGCTTTTTTGAAAACTTGGAATTGATTTGATACCACTGTCATTGATAAAAGGCAATTTCACAAACAGTAAACAAGAGGCCCACGGGCCTTAACGGTCACCTGAGTATGGGCCATAGAGTATAACATAAACTGATAGATGAAGCTTTGTTGCTCAAAGCAAGAGAAATAGGAAGATCAGGATCAACGAAATAATTAGTCTAGTATTCAGTAACAACTCATACTCTAAAATCTAATTTGTCCCCAATTTATCACTATGCAGACTATTAACAAACTATGACTGCTTCTGTACTATTTTTGACCCCATATCATTACCTCTCACATTTGTCTCTTTTGATCATGGGGAAGAACAGTTATTTTTTTGTTATTTTTTTTTTTTACAATTCTATCTATCTATCTATCTATCTATCTATCTATCTATCTATCTATCTATATATATATATATATATATATATATATATATATATATATATATATATATATATATATATATATATATCGCGGGTATGTTAAGGTTACATCCAGAGATATCCTACTTGACTATACAATATGACGTCATAATAAGCTGTATGACGTGAAGTATAGAAATAATGATTTCTTAATATCTATATTTAAGAAATAAATAACAAGTTTAAAAACTTCAATGGGAATTGAAGTGGGTCGGTCACGTGATCAAATCCTGTGAAGGCCGAAGGCCTTCTCAGAAGATTTGATCACGTACCGACCCACTTCAATTCCCATTGAAGTTTTTAAACTTGTTATTTATTACTTATATATACATTTGAGATGGACAATTGAATGTAATCGAATATAAATATTGCACTAACCGCACGTCGTAGATTTCGACAAATTACGCTAGGTGTAAATCGGCTTGAAAAGCGGTTACGCTTCAAATTCATCTGGCAAAGGATTCTGTTTTGAAGGGAATATTCTGTGAAAGGCTACTTGCGATCAATTATAGTGAGCATATTGGTGTCTGGGAATTTTTGTATTCATGAGAACCCATATTCGATGTTAAAAAACACAAGAAACACGTCCGATGTTTGATAATAGAAAGTTGGAGGAATTTCGGTAGGAAAGGGATGGATGGAGACACTTGTCCGGACCAGATAACTTGAAATCAAGTACAAAATTTGATCAAAACCATAAAATCTACGATTTCAGTAAGGCATATTTATATTAATTTATGATGTTGACATGGAGACACTGGCGACAGCGTACATTGTTAAGACAACGTCACAACGATCTCGATGATGGAGGTGTGCCTACCGAACTTCCAAAGTGCAGTGTTTGTCAGCTGTTTGTGGCGTGATTGCATTACATTGATATTTTTCAACAGATTTTCAAATTTATTGTGAGTAAAGTTTAACGAAAAAAAATTATAGCATTCAGAGGTCTGCGAGAAAAATAAGGGTAAACGTTGAGACTATGCAGCTCAGACATGGAACTTATAACATGTAGTTTTCTATTCTCTATGTAAAACCGATCAAAAACTGTATTAAATACTCGTTTACATTGTAAATAAAATGATTATTATAATTTACTAGAGTATTTTGTACATTTTTATGTATGAAAAACATGCTATATTGCTTAGTGGAGTAAGTCTTTTTATGTAGATATTACTGCGCTGTGTGATTGGGTCACGTAATGACCTATGACCTTCGAAAAACTTCATACAGTTATGAAGATATTTGCTCTCTGCATGTTTATATAATAGAGAGATACCACAAATGTATATATTTAAAGTTTAAATTCAGGTTCAAGAAATGAATGGAATCGCTCAAAAACATAATATAAACAAAATCTTCTCGTTTTTGGGTGGAATAAATAGCTTAGTATTTATCACGGGGATTAAATACCATACCCATGACTTCATAACTATTGATCAAATATTTGCCGAGTGAAAATTAAACGTGACGAGACTTCATGTAAACAAATATATAAAATGGGAGTTTTAAAGATATATCGTGAGGTTATGTGTGATTCATAAGGAATAAATATTAAGAATCAGGTACGCTGATATTTTCTAATCGTGTTTTCTTATAATGAACACAGGCAGTGCTTTGAAATCCCGATCAGCCTTTCCTCTGTCGTTCTGTAACAACAAAGTTGCAAAAGTTTAACACTAAACCGCATACTTTGAGACATAATTTTTGTTTGTATCGAAAGCTTGTATTCTATAGTACATGGAAAGTGCTGCTGGAATCGTGTAATTAACATGAATTGATAACAATTCCTTGATCCTTTGTACAAAATGTAATAATTTTGGTAAGGTTTCATGTGAAACTTTGGAATAATTTTTTCTGTGTCGGGAGAGCAAGATTCTAGCAACACTTTTCATGACCCAGTTATGTTTTTACATAATTATTTTCACAAAAAGAAATGAGTTATCCCTGGGGTAGTGTTGAACTTTTCATTTTTTCATTGAGGCAATTTTTATTTTTATAGACGTCACGTGATGACGTCGTAGTTGAGTGCTCCTTTTAGCTTAAGACTCAATGACGTCTATACAATGGATAATAATAGTAAATGTTTATCTATGGCTTTTCCGATTTATCAATGTTACATTTTACGAAAAAAGTCTAAAATCGCCGAAATATGATCTGGGAACTGCCTTAACATAACTGCTTATATATATATATATATATATATATATATATATATATATATATATATATATATATATATATATATATATATATATATATATATCAGTGATTTTTTAGGACCGATTTGGGGCCGAAATTCGGCCCCAGTCCCAATTGAAAATATGCCCGTATCAGTGATTTTTTAGGACCGATTTGGGGCCGAAATTCGGTCCCAGTCCCAATTAAAAATATGCCCGTATTTTCCCAAAATGTAGTGGAAGTTTTCCCAAAGAAAAAACTTACAAAATATGTGATCAAATTCAGTTTGTTTATTGCATGCTTTTCAGTGAAGTTCAAGCAGGTTTTGTTGTTCAGCCATGTTGGATTTTCTTTATAGTTAGATAATTTATACCACTATTGTTCTTGGTGTGAGTGATTAGATAATTCATACCAATAATAATCTTGATTTGTTATATCAATTGTTTGTTAAAGTAATTCAAAGACAAAAACAAAGCTTTTTGACAACGCTTTTTAAGTCACTGGGTTTTCTGGGAGATTCCAAATTTAGCCTAATTGACGCTGAAATTCCCAATTCTGAGGGCCCAGCCACCAGTCCCAAAGTGCTGAATAAAAAAACACTGTATATGTATGTATGTATGTATGTATGTATGTATGTATGTATATGTACGTAAAAATACGCTTACCTTTCCTATTAATTTCTCGAAGTTCATTTGTAATTTCTGTAAAAAAAAAAAAAAAAAAAAAAAAAAAAAAAAAAAAAAAAAAAAAAAAAGAGAAGGAGAAGGTTATTTAAGAAATAAACAACAATGTTAAAAAGTTCTCTGGGAAATGAACTTGGTTGGTCACGTGATCAAATCCTGTGAAGCCCGAAGGGCTTCTCAGAAGATTTGATCACGTACCAACCAAGTTCATTTCCCAGTGAACTTTTTAAGATTGTTGTTTATTACTTTTATTTACATTTGAGACGAATATTCTGAGTAGAACTGCATTTATTACACAAACGGCCCGCCGTATTGCTATGTTGTGACGCGCAATGACCTAGAAGCTGTTTGTTCTTCAGAGTTCGCCTCGCTCCAACATTTGAATATTTACATGGATGTTAAGCCGTCCAGTTCAGGAAATAACTGTTCGTAATGAAAAAACAATGATCGCTACTGAGAATAATCTTACTATTATTGTAAGAGTTCTTTATATATGAAGTCAAAAGCGGTGGTATATCGTCTTCAGTTTACATACCTTCAAAGGAATTTCGGGTTAAAAAGGTAAGCGTGATTTTAGGCTAATTATAAACATTCTTCACACCCAAGAAAGATATAATTATCATTTGTTGAACAAAAAAAATATATGTTTCAATAATTTTATCTTTTTCATCGCTTTAACGGCTCAGAAGTTCCGAAACAGTGTCACTGTGACAGAAATATGTAGACAAGATATCGTCTTGCTGTGTGATTCGGTCACGCCATGACCTCTGACCCCCTAATAAGTTCATACAGAATTGAACATATTTTCTCTTCAATAGGTTCATCTAAGAAAAATATTTGCAAATGTAAATAATGCTTAGTTAATTAACATAAACTTGGAAACAGGATTTATTTTTGGAAATCATGGGATTTTTTAATGTTATTGTTTAAAAAAGGGATTATTTAGTCTCCCGTTTCTCCTTAAACTGAAATCACCTATTACGCCTGTATGTGTACATACATACCAGTAGCCTTTTTCACAAAAATTCTTACGAGTAAGATTAAAATTTTACAACTCTGTAATTTCTTTGTTTAATAAAGAAAATTATTTTTTCAGAAGAATAATTCTCAATATACTGTAATGTAATAGAAATATAAGATTTTTTGTAACATACTTCAATATAGGTACATATAGAAGAATTGGAAAATTTTTAATCTTAGTCGTAAGATTTTTTGTGAAAAGGGCTACTGGGTGGTAAAAAGCTTCATGAATACTGGCTGCAACGTCCTCTGATTCTGTTGGGTTAATGTGTTTGATACCTGCCAAGCAAGCGGGCTTTTCTACTGGATACAATTCAACAAGGATCATTTTAAAGTTGTCCAAGTCAGTGAATGTGTTCATACAAGCTTGCCGTATTTCAAGGCAACACCAAAAACTGTTCTTGGAGTTTGGACTCAGAAATATCAGAACTTTTTCGCATTTTTCCAAAGCATTCTTACACATATCCTCTATTAAGCCTGCTTGTGGAAAATCGCGCTTAAAAATCATGCATTTAAGTCCAAAGGCTTCTTCTAACCGGACACATATCGGCTTAACTTCATCATAGTCTTCCTCACAGTAACACACATATAAATGGAAATCCTTATCTGGTGAAAGATCCCTAAAAATCTTTCTGCCTGAAATTGATTCACAACTTGCACTGATGCTCTCCACTTTTGGGTCACTGTGGTAAAAAAAAATCATCGCATTCTTGTAGCAGACTTTCCATTTCTATGGAATCCATATTTGTCTGTCTTTGATAAAAATGAAAAAGAATTAAAGGTCTTCCGCATAAGATTTTTCCAATTTACTTTAAATTTTTTTCTTAAATGAAGTTAATTAACGAATTAATAAAATTTGAAGAAACAAGCATTCTGAGAGTATTGCATTAGCAATACTTGTCCCCTACCGGCAAGTGTAATCTGGTTCCCGCTAAAAATTGAAAATGCCATAATTCCGTCAAAAATCAATGAAGCGGAATGAAATGCAAACTTGATCTATAACTCATCAAGGTAAAGTCACATACCAAAAATCAGCTCAATATCTGCAAGCGTTTAGAAAAAAAATTGCGGAAAGCCCTGAAAAATTGAAAAGGTCGTAATTCCGCCAAAAATCATTGAAGCGGGACGAAATGCAAACTTGATCTGTATCTTATCAAGATACACTCACATACCAAAAATCAGCTCAATATCTGCCAGCGTTTAAAAAAAAAGTGCGGAAAACCAAGTGGGACAGACTGTCAGACAGACAGACAGCTAGACGGACGGACAGACAGACTCAGAGGAAACCTATAGTCCCCTCCGGTTCACCGGTAGGGGACTAAAAAAAACACAAAAAGCCCAGGGCCAAAGTATGTTCATGACTTACCTTTCTAACTCTTCCTGAAAAATATACTAGTATATGAAGATTAAACAAAATCCATCTTGTAGGGTATCGACTTATGACTTTCCATGATTAAAATAATAATTATCTAGGTTATGAATGAAACAACAAAAATTATATCCTTATGATGAAAAATTATCAAACAATGAACTCTGTAATTACAAAGAAGACGCAATGTTATCAGTCTTATCTTACGGATTCTTTTTAAATTTTTTTTTCACAAACTACAAATAAATAAAATACAAGTCTGTAAAATATCTAAACACATATCTTTTATTTGTTTTTTTTTAATATTTACTTTTCTCTGAACCGTATATCAGAGCTAAATTCACGTCTAACATGACGTGGCGAGTGTATATTAACGTTATTATTTAAAAGAAAAAAGCATCCTGGGTATTTACCGATATAAAACCATTATCTGTGTTAATTTATGAGAAAACTCTCCAATTACATCTTCTCACCAGCTAAGCTAAAAATATAAAGAAAGAAAATTTCCAGCTCAAAATAGTTTCTGAAATCCAAGGCTAAAAATAGCTACATGTGCAGATGCGTGCAACATTAGTTATATAACATGGAGCTTTTTAGTTCTGTTTTGTTCATGATCTTCTTGTTGCTGGTAAACTTGTGTGTGTGTGTGTGTGTGTGTGTGTGAGAGAGAGAGAGAGAGAGAGAGGTGTATGTGTGTGTGATCAGAAATTATATATGCTTGCAGGATCAACTGGGAGATATAATTCCATTTATGCAGGTGATAGTGGTATATTGCTACATAAATAAGGGCATTTGTCGAAAGTTGAAGTCATTAATTTTTGTTGTTATGATACCATGAACGTTTTATAGCCTAATGTGAAACAATCTATGTGTCAGACTCTATGGGATCTTTTATGTCAAGTTTAAAGGATTATAATCAAATAAACGTATAGGAATGAAAATGAATATAAATGCTGGAATGTACGTTTTATGGTATATTTGATAATTTTTGTATTTCAACAGCACTTGATAATATGTCCTCTTTTATTCCTTCCACATTTGAGGTTCCAAATAAATGCACTGTAAGAATTTTATGGCTGGCATTGATTTGCAAAGCTGCCTGCAACTTAGATTAATGTACACTGCCTGAAAATTGTAATTTCATCTGTAATACAAATTTCATCTTTGAGTTTTTACAATGGTAATTATCCTGTCAATTTTTTCATGTGTGTCTTTTATTTACCTTGAGAAGGTATACTGGTCCTCAAGGGCATATGAAGTGCTTGCCGTAAGTTGTTACTTAGTTCCTTTTAGTACACTTTTCCGTTGTCAGGAGCTTTTTTCAATTGTTCTTCAGCATTTTTAGAGATTTTTAGGAGGTTGTTCTCATCATTCAGTGTCCTGATTTTTTTCCAAAAATGAATGTTTTCAGCGGAAACATCTCTTGCTTTTGATAGTTTTTTTTTTTTGTCACATCAATGTCCGTTGTTCTTATGACCTTAATAGCAAATATGATCTTCCATTGGATCTATTTTGGCTCCAATTATTAGATATTTGTTTTTGTACAAAATTTGACTACCGAATGTTCCGTTTACTTGATCAATACATTGGGCCCACGGCGGGTTTGACCGGTCAACAGAGGATGCTTACTCCAACAAGGCTTCTAAGCTAGGTCTTAGCTAAGTCAAACTTATGTTCAAAATATTTTTTATGAATCATCCTAGTTATTCAATTTATTTATAAATAAATATTTGTAAAAATGATTAAGTTACGTTTTAATCACATATATATTAAAGTGATGTCTTCACCTATCAGTTTTAGCTAGGTTAAGTTAATTCTGTATAAATTATTCTGAATATTTGAAAACATATATTGCACGGTCACAGAGTAGCACTAGTGGTTCATTGTAAATGCATGAAAATTGTTCATCACTCGAGACTGCGATGTTTTCAGTTTACCGTTTGTTGTTATTCTTTCATTTGACAAATGTTCACTTGCTTTCAAGTTGTCATTCTCGCAGACATGGCACGATAACCGAAAGTCTATGTACTTTAGATTAAAACAAATAACAAAAAAAAAGTACAAAACAATAGGGACATTTAGAATATTTTCTAGAATATAGAGACTGCAGACGTTTTATAATATACTTATTTACAATTTAATGAAAGATGGAAAAGAATTGTTTTCAGAAATGAAATATATGGAGATAACGAACAGTATTCCAGCTTAAAAGTCCATTAAACATTACAAAATAGGTGCACAGCAAACACGGACCTCCAAAACATCAGAGGTGGGATCAGGTGCCATGGGGGAGTGAGCATCCCCTGCCGACCGGTCACACCCGCCGTGTGCTCCTTGTCATGATCGTGAAATAACGGAAAAATCCGTCGACAATTCAGTGTGTAAGTAAAAGACTAACAATTAGTATGAAAACCGTCAGTCAGCATTTGACTCAATGATAAATTGTATTTGCTTACAAGGTCATTGTATCGACCATAGAACTTTCGAAATGATGACTTTAAACGAGACTGCTGATATTCTTGTTTCATCAACTTGAAAGAAAACAATTTTCGTATATCTCCAACTTATCAACAACTCTCTCGATCGATCGATCGAACGTTAACGTTAGAGAACCCTGTCTGAATCCTCGCTTGTTGCGTTCTACATTCAATCTAATTTACGTAAAATCTTTATGATAAACATTAGTTTTCTAGTCATCATCCTTTAATTCACCGACAATTTTTAAAATAATTTCCTTTCATTTTTTCACAATGAACAAACAAATCCATGATTACTGTGTACAATTTACTTATGATTAGTGTTTATAACCTATGTCCCACTTATAATTCAAACGTATCCCAAAAATAATATTTTGCATTTACATTAGTGACATTGGGATCAATGATGAATACCCCCCCCCCCCCCCCCTCCGACCAAAAACTAAAGTTCTTATACCAGTATATGAAATACAGAAAATTAGTTTTTAATGCATACTATGAATAAATTGATTGATTGATTGTATGTTGATTTACGTCCTATTCGAGAATTTTTCACTCATATAGAGACGTCAACATATACAGGTGAAGGGTTTCAAATTTTGACCTTTACTCGGCACTCAGGGCCATTGAGCAGTGAGGGGCCTGCCTGCCGTGACACGGGGCTTCGGTTTTTAAGGTCTCATCCGAAGGACCCGCAACTTTCACTTCAAAGTGCCGAGCGCATGGCGAAGGAACAGTCAGTCACGGCCGAGATTCGAACTTCCGATCACGGAGCGAGCGCTCTACCAACTGAGCTACCGTGATCGATTATACTATAAATAGAGGAATGTTTTAACATAGAAAGTCAACCTTAAATATTTCTAAATATATGTTTAATAAAGTTAAGACAAACTTAAGTCTCCTCTACCGGCCGCTAAGTTCTGTTAAGATTGTCAAATCTTGGCACGTTTCTAGTTACGGTTTAAGACTGTACTTAAGTCCTACTTAACCATGGTCTTAGACTGAAGTACTCTTTATGTTACGACCCCTGATCCCACCTCTGGAATTTCCAGGGGTCCCTGATTATGCCATGTTCACAGATTTGTATTTTTTGAAGTTTTTATGAGATCGATCACTGTTCGTTATCTTAACCCTTATTCTTTCTCCTAATTTTAAACCGGTCACGGAGCCTAGCGGTGCGGCGTTCGCTTCGTGACCGAGAGTCCCGGGTTCGATTTACTTTCGCCGCGCTGTGTCAATCCTAAAACGTAAACATAGGTAGTGATTGTCCTTCACCAAGCTCCAGGCACTAGAAGCGAAAGGCACTGGTCTTTTGAATAAGTCGCAAATTCGAGGTCCCGTGACACGGTAGGCGTTGGCACGATAAAGAACCGTCACTGCTCAATGGCCCTCAGTCCGGAGTATAGGTGTAAATTGAATTCATTCACCAGCATACGGTGACGTTTCTATGAGTAAAAAATTCTCCAATGGATATCAATCAATCTTTTAATTTTAGAAGGGACTCTACAAGCACTATTTTCAGTCTTTGGAACTTGATATATTATTATTTAAATCCTGGGGATTAACGTCTCTTATCTTAATTCCTGCACTTTATGCATTTTGGGGGTGAAATTATGCATTTAGAATTTGCACTCTAAAATGGAGATTATATGGCTGATAAAAAGCACAAGCTGTAACTCTTAGTATTTTTCTGTCATGGCCATTATCGGGAAATATATCTATTTAAATATGATTTATATACTCCCATATAGTTTCTATAGTTTCCTGATTGTCTGCTCAAATCCCCCCCCCCCCCCGCCCCCCGAGAGTAAAATGGGCCACAGTAGGGGATTAAAGTTTTACATGGGAATACACACGAAACGTTTTTTTTTTCTTTTAATTTATCCCAGATTCACAATA